AAAACCTTCAAGAGCGTTCTTATTTCAAAACTAGATCTTTTAAAAACACAGCTTCCGAATAACAAGTAAGTGGAAAAAGTTTCTTGGATAATTTGTTCTTTGACGCATCCCGATTTTGCTATACCTCACTTTTGTTCTTTCTTTCTGTTTTTTAGGAATGATCGTACAGTACAGGCAATAAAGGCAACCCTATAGATGAAAAATAATTTTGAATATTTTATTTCACACCAATAGAAAGAGCCAATGGTGCAGTTCACATTGAGACACCAGCATACGGTTTCATCCTTATAACTTCGTTAATATTCATGTCTCTTTTGCACATACAAATTTGTAAAATGTTCGTTAAAGGTGAATAAGTATATTGGAAAAATTACCGATTAATATATATTTAATACTTTCTTCGAACAAAAAATCGCACAAGTAACTTATTTTTACTCTGTTTCAAACGAATACTCCCTTAACACCCATTAAACATATGTTTTCATCACGTAATGCTAATCAACATGTGTCAACTATTTACCCTATTCCACTCGAATTGTCTATTTGGTAGCAAAAAGCTACACATTTCAAACTTGTCAACATATTACAGTAATGTCTCAGAAAATGTAACTCGATGAGGAGAGAAAAATGTTGTATTTTCCGGAACGCTGACGCGTTTCAGTTTCGTATCGTTAAACCGTTACTTGTATGCCCACCGGTCGAAAGGAACTTGCAAAAATGAAATTAGTATAATTTCTATTTTATCAGAATGTTGTGAAGATTGTTAATAAATTTGCCAGATCTTTTGCAGATTAAAATGGGAGACCAACCACGGTATAAATTGGACTATTTCTAGGATAATTAACAGGTAAATAGGGATATTTATAGTACACTTCGATCAAAGATAAAATTGTAAAAATGTAATCTTTTATAGATCAGAGTAATGACTCCTCGTCATTTATTGTTATCTGTGCTGTTCGATAGTTCGCGCATACCCAAGAAGATTCGGAAAAATAGCTGGAATAGCGAAGTTACGTAATATGAAGCGTTTCGAGTTCAGTTTCGAGAGACATTACTGTACATCTACTCAACAACAAATATCGGTTCAGTAATCCGCAATTTCACTTGCCTTCGTTTGACTATTTACCAACACATTCGCCTGGCCATTGTTTTCTTTCTTTTATTTGATCGCACAGAGTGCTCCATACTCAAGGATTAAGAAAATAGCTGTGTTCACTGCATATATAGAGTTTCTGAAAAATAATTAGCGCCTCGTCTATCATTATAGTTCATCAAGTATAATTTTTTGACACTTTTCCTCTTTGTTTTTTCTTTTTTCTTTCGAATTCACGAGTGATAAACGAATTTTCACGACTGTCACGTGTAACATACTTGGATTACAGTTTCGTTAACAATCGTTCGTCATTGTTTTAGCTCCCTTATCGAAGAGGAAAACTTTCCTAATACAAGGATGCAACAGAACCGTTTTTTTCCAAAATTTCTGGATTGTCTCGAAAGGAACTTAAAGCAGAAAAAAAATAAATAAAATAAAGAAAACCGTAAGAAAAGAAGATGTTTATAAATTCATTGATAGCTGATGGATGAAGTTATTGCAATGTAATCCAATACAAAGAATGTATAGAAGTAATTAGATAAAACTGTATACCCAGTGGCAAGCATATAAATAAGGAAAAATGTGTGTACAAAATTGAGCTTGATCTATATGTATGTACAAAGTGTAAAAATGGTAACGTTGGAAGGATAATGCAATATGGCTGTGTGTGTATTCAATATTGTTTATTCAACCGATATCCAGAGCATATTAGGCAGTCGCATGTTTTTTTTCCCACAAGCATATAAATAGGGAAATGTAGTTATTGTCAACTTTTTTATATACCAAAAATTCGACGAAAAAATTAACGTATTGAGCAAAATGGCAGCTATCCTAGCAGATCGTAAAAAAGCTCCCAACAAGCCACGAAGAACTGATGTTTGAGGCAAATTTGGACTAAAAGCACATGTTGTCTGTAAAAAAGCCATTCAAAAGTAAAAAAAAGAATCGTCAAGCGCAATTACGTTTTGCTAATCGACTAAACTGAAGAAAGAAACAATTCTCTGTTTGATTCGGAGGAAGAAACATAAGTTTGACGTCGAATAGGCGAAGAATTTAATATTATTTGTCTAAATAATCGTATAAATAGCATAATAAGAAATTGTTTATAGAAATCCGTTAAAGGAGGAATTATGAATCAATATACTTACATGGATACAAGTAAACACCCATTTATTATACTTTCACTTGTTGATAATAATCTACCAAGAGACTGGAATTTTCAAATTTCAACGAAGAAACAATTCTTCGAAGAATATATATAGTATAATAATTTCGATTTAACGTCAATCAATGTGCTATGAAATGATTTAAAGAGGAAAAAAGACCTACTTAATGTAAAAATTTTTCCTATGTAGCTGCTCGTTCAAAGTAGTTATATCGTTCCATGTTTCTAAACAAATTTTAAATTAAACTGTGAAAAATTTACTCGCAAACATTATAGGACACAGATAAATAGACGTGTGACCTATGGCAATTACTTAAATTGAAGAATAAATACCTCTCTATTTATATGCTCGCCATTGTACGCGTTGAACACGAGTAGAAACATTGAATACAAAACAAGAAACAGAAAATTAGGGGAAAAATATATGTACGATTGGATTAAAATTAAAAATGATAAATTGTTAAAAATTTATTTGATAAAATCTTCGAGGAAATCATTCTCTTTTTTTCTTCTTTATCTTTCATAATCGCATAGTATCTCCTGCTCACTTCTCCATAATTATTTTATTACTATTTCAATAATTATTTCTATTACCTGGTAGTAACTGAAAATAGTATATAACGATACGAATGTACGTATGCAGAAATTCTAATCAAATAATGTCACAATATTTGCAATTCGGTGTATGGTTGAACAATGTCGATTAGATGGTTCAGTTACAAATGACAAGAGTATACAACGCAAAAATAAAAGGGAAAATCCGAATACATCTCATTAACAAAATTATTTCGAATACGATTTCGTTGGAAACAGTTAACGTACATTTGTCACGATAAAACACAACGAAACGAACAATGAACTTGCTTTGTTCTGTAAGCGATATTATAAAAACTAATAAGAAACGTTACACGGTATTTTAATGTAACAGTAACACCTTTAACTTGTATTCTTCTTATACCTTAACTGAACAAGTGAAATCGCCACGAGTAAACAACGTATCATTGAATTCGATTTTTCTTTGTATTGTATATCTGTGTACGCGTTATTTCATACCTACATCCCATCTTACTTTCCTCAATTCCGTATACTGACTATATCGATATAATCCGTCGTTTCATCTGCAAAAGCAGAAATTTCCTATATCAATTGTAATAAACGTATCTCAATTGATCTTTGTCGTTACTCAAGCTCTCGTCTTTCCCTCGTTTCTCTTTTTCATGTTTACAGATTTTTTTTTTTAAGGAAATTCCACATATATACAGGCAAATCTCGCATACTCGGTAACAATTTTTTTTTTTTGTTTATTACAATATCATACCCGAAGTAACGATTTATCGGGAGATGAGTAACGACATTCGTCAACCACAGAGGCAAACATAACGATCGTACCTACATACTATCTCACATTAAAATAATCGAATCACGTTGCAAAACAAACGAATCGGACAATTATAGTATCGTACTCTAACCTCCGTATTCTTTGGTATATAATATGCCAAATAATTGCGACTTTGATCAAATAACAAATTTAACAATCTCGTTATAAAATATGATCGAGTAAAAAAGTAAAAATCTAAGCAAATTTTCGACAGAAAAAAAAAAATATTCTATATAAAGTTATATATTACGGGAAAGAAACGAAACTGAACGAACCGAAAAGAATCTTATATCCTTATATTACTCTTAAAAAACTTAACGACATGTTCGCGCAGAGAGATCAATCGGAAATGCAGTACGCAATGGCGACGATAAAAATCTTGGGTAACAGAGAAAGAGAGGAGGAGAGAAAAAAAAAGATGAACGCTAGGCGCGCCTTCTATTCTACGGCTTGCAAAAGTTATGCTCCACGACCGACTTCCTCGAGTCTGAGATATACACACACCCGCGCTCGAGTGCCCACATGTAAACGAACGTGCATTCGCACACAGTGTAACGTACATGTGAGAATGCACGAACTTGTACACGGAGAATAAAAATGTACAAAATATTGCGAAGACACTCTCAGGTTCGTTAAAGACAAAGATTTACAACAGGTTCGCATATGTACATATAAAGTAGAAAATACGCACGTTTTCACGCAACAAGTAAAGGAACAGCTCGATACGCACCTTCCATTAGATACACGCAACACTTTGGAAAGCACGAAGAAAGCGTAAAAAACACTAGACAGCGTGTTTAATTCAGTCTTCAATCGACTGGACATTCAGTTCTAAAGGTTACGATAACGAACGAAAAAGGGAAAAGAAAAAGAATAGAGAATAATAAAAGAATAAACGAGCGGTAGATGCGCGACGAACGAAGCATTGAAAATGATGGAGGAAAAAGAAAAAAAAATCCTAGAAAAAGTATATCACGAGATTATAAAGTATGTTGTTGAATCGAATTAGTAAATGCGTATCGCGCGAATAACGAACCGCTTTTCGCTTCGTAACGTTAATCGGAAAAATCGTCTTTGACACGATCCGCGACGATGGCAAGAAAAAGAAGCGCGGGAAAGAAAAATAACGCGTTACATGCTGTATCACGTGACCACAGTAAACGTACGGTGGGGGAAGCCAACAAATCGGACTGAATATCTAACCTCTGCTCTGTCCAGAATATTCGTTTGTTTGGTTCTTCCGTTTTTCAAAGAAGTGTAGCAAAAAGCAAGAAAACGATTAGGAGAAGCGACAAAATATGTCGTTGGTCGTTCGCAGGAACGCAGGGACACGTAAATAGTGTGTACGGTTTAGAAAAAAGCCATCACCGCACGTGCCAAAGACCAAGATTTAACGTACTCAGCTGCGGCAACTTCATAATCCTCTCTAGGCCGTTGGTACTTATCTTGGTGCATCCGTAAAGATCGATACATTTCAAGTGTTTCATACTCTCGGCAATGGTGTAGAGTCCTTTGTCTGTCAATCTGCTGCACTGGCCGATGTTCAACGTTTCCAAATCATGCAATGTCTTGGCGATCTTGCATATACCCTCGTCGCTGATTTGACAGGCGGACAACGAGAGTGATTTCAGGTTAAACAACCCCTGAGAAATATGAACGAGTGCTTGATCCCCTATTTTATCGCAAAACGACACATCCAACGAAGAAATCCTGCTGCCACCTTCCGCGAGATAAGCCATACCGATGTCCGAGATATTGTCGCAGGATCGAAGATTCAGTTCACGCAGACTGGACATCTTCGCCAGGTGTTTCACGCCGGAATCGGTGATACACACGCAAAACGAAAGATTAATAGATTTCAATGTGGTCAGACCAATCGACACGTGCCTGAGAGCTTCGTCGCTCAGCCGTTGGCAATCCTGAAGGCTCAAATGCTCTAACGCGAGATTTCCCCCAGCTGCTTCGCGATTCACACCAGCCAAATGAGCGATACCCAAGTCGGATACTTGCCAGCAACTTCGTATATCGAGTCTCTTTAGCTTCTTCAAATTCCATGCTATGCAAAGGAGCCCACCGTTAGTGATGTTGCAACAACCACCTAGTTCTAAGTGCTCGAGATTCTTTAAGTACTGCACTATCCTACCAAGAGAAATGTCCGACACTTGTTTGCACAACGAAAGATTCAATTCGATGAGTGTGCTGTATTCCTGGCAGAAAGCGTTGATCAAACCTGCATCGGTTATATTATAGCAACCGGACAAATTCAATGCCTCCAAGTTTGGCACACCTTTTAATACGTCGCCGAGTCCTCTTCGTAACGACAATACCTGGATCCTTTTCACTCCTCTTCTTACCAAGCTGGCGAATAACGCCGGTGCCTGCTTTCTTAAATGTAACCTGGCTTCAACCCCTCGCCAGACAGACCGGTAATAGGCCGCGTCCCTCCACGCGGTGCACACTTGGGCGGCACGTCCTTTGTCCCTGACCTCGAGGTAGCTGAAGATCAACGCCAGTATCTCAGGATAGAGGCAGGAGATATGCGTGCTCGGTGTGATAGTACCGCGAGAAGTTACTTGCGGTTGTTGCCTCGACGAGAGGCCTTGCGCGTACGCCGGTAGACTGATTGCACCGCTGGTATAATGCGGCGTGTTGTTCGAATTGTAAAGAATCCCTTGACTTTGCGAGCTCGGTATTGCGGCCAGCTGCGGCTGATGCAACTGATAATAATGTCCTGAACGATGAAGCAACGTTGTGCCGCGGCTCGGCGTCAATGCCGGAAGTTCCGTCATCAACAGCTGACTTTCCTCCATCTTGCCGGCTGGTATATACACACGCGCACACACATATACCCGTTTCTCAAAATGTTTTCAACTTTGTAATTATATCACGTATTTCTTCCCTTACTCATCCATTATTCCTTTCCTTTCTGTTACCTTGCCTTCTTCCTTCTCACCCCTCTAATCCTTAAGGGATCATCTCTTTACACCTCTCGCTGTTTCTTCTTTTTCTCATATTGCTATATTTCTCCTTTGTTACATTCACAATGATTCGTATCATACGTAATACATACTCGGACCGATCTCTGATTTTGTTCCTACAAATATTTTTTCCAACTTGACGACACTACTCGAACAGTTTACTATTTCTGTTACAATCGCATCGATTCTTTGATCAAATTTTTTTATCGATCATCCATTTGTTCCAACGAAACGAAAAAGAGAAAGTTTATCGATTGTTTTGCTCTACGATCTTCAATCCCACGCGGATCCTTTATCACTCGCGAACACGGCGTAGCACATGTAACACACTACTGTATTTTTTTTAATTCCAATTTCCTTTCTTCCACACGTTTTGCTTTCTCTTTTCTTTTTTGTCGTTCTCTGTGTTTCTCTTGCTTGCTTGCTTGCTCGTTCGCTCGCTCACTCGTTCACTTGCTTTCTTTTTCCTTCCCCAAGCACCCTTCTTTAACCTCCCTCACACTGTCCTTCTCTTCTTCTTCTCTTTCTATATGTGTACAAATACGTGTACGTATTCATCTACCGTAAAGCACATACACACACGCGCGCACGCGCGCGCGCGTGTGCGTGTGTGTGTGCTTTTGTATGTATAACGTTGTACACGTATGTACGAGCGTGTGTGTGTGTGTAAGCACGCGTATAAATGTACGTCGCGCGTACGTGCGTGAATGTATGAGTGCGTTCGCGCGTGTTATGTGTACAATACTTTTTTTTCTCTTTCTCCCAAGTTTGTTACTGCCCCACCCCTTTTCCTCTCACTATTCGGTTCTTCTCCTCGCCTACAAGAGTTAATTCGTTTTCAACTATCCTGCTCTTTATCACACTGATCACCTCTTTTCAGACGCGAAACGAATATGAACGATACTCGCGCACGCACACGACGTTACGTTCTTCCAGGATGAAAACAAAATGCGCATGAATTGTATCAAGCACCAAATTGATCCTTTTTGATAGGCTGATATCGCGATATCGTCTTCGTATTCACTCTCTGAACTGTGAAACGTGTCACAAAAGCACTCGCGTAGTTGCCTTCAAAACGACACATCGCCAAAGCGTAAACCGGTGCGCTGCCAGTCGTGAACTGTTCTAGTTACCTAAAGTCAGATGTCGTGTCGTTGCTCTGTAATACTGCCAGAGCAAACTTCGTTCTAGCGAATCACCGATTGGCTACCACGCTCAACTCTCAGTCACGTGACTATGACGGCGAATATCGATTCGGGTTGCGCTGCGGCGGCATTTTTAAGTTTTCGTCGAGAGGTGGGGGTATGACATCGTGTACCTACTCCGAATCACGTCGCGATTGCCATTATTCCTCGAATTTTCCCGCATTTCTGCCATGTCCGATCCCATTTTTATAAAACCCTTTATTACCAACACTTTTTTAAAATTTTCCTTACATTTTCTCTACTTCTTATCCCTTTCTCTCTGTTATTCATTATAATTATACACCGACTTCAGAAAGAAGAAAAATACCTACCAATTGTTTTTTTCAATCTCTGTATTATATTCTAAGTTTTTTACTAATTACCAATAAATCTTTATTGATTATAATCAAAGCATTATTTTTATATAAGTTCAAACCGATTCACATCGTACAACATGCAACGTAATTAAATACAATAACAAATAAAAATGAAATTCGCTCAAGATAATCTTTATATCAATATTTTTTTCCCGAAATGAAGAACAACTATGTAAAAATTCGCACGTGCAACTTAATAAGTAGGAAATTTTACAAACAAGACAGAAAAATAAACTGTTCAAATGAATTAAAAAAAATTATGAATAAGTTTAAGAATGAATTACATGCGTAAACTTTATTATATGAAAAAATAACATGTATATTTTTTTTAATTTAAAACAAAAATAAAATGCACAACGAGCTTGGCAGTTTAACAGATTGTTATGTACATAGTTATATTCACTACTTATTTATATCTTGATTTCCTGTGTCTTTAAGTAATTATTTAAAATAATTTAGAACCATAAAATGAGAAAAGTAATGTAGAATAATTACTCTAGAATACTATCTCTTACAAGTATAATTATAATAAATTATCAACTATTTGAATATAATCCATGAAATAACTCGTGTGACAAATTTGAATATTTTTTTAGATCTTAACCTGGCATAAGTATTTGAAGGTTGTAATCACCAGAGTTTTATTAACATCTGACTCTACAAACAACGTATCTACGATACCTATAGTAAATCGTTGGTGTGTACGTTCACATATTATATATCATATAATATATGTTATATATATACAAATAATAAAAATAACAGTAATTTACATATATGTGTGTGTGTGTGTGTGTGTGTGTGTGTGTATATATATGATGTATGCATACAAATTTTCAACACATAAGGTAACAGCAGATAGAATAAAGTAAAATTAGATTGTGTGCCACATATTTTAAATCTTATTAAAATGACATAACAAAATTAAAATCAAAGTATACATCTAAATTATATTCTACATATACTGTACGCAATGTCATGAAATTATTTAAGGTGAATATATTGTACATAAGTTTTATTAAATTGCATGGTTGTTTTTAAAAATAGCATATGTTTTAAACGATACAATCTAATATAAATAAATTATTTTTCATCTTTATATAACAATTGCATAAATTTTCCAGTTAAAACTGTAAGGTTACAATTTATAATTTACTCTTATTGTGTAAAGTAAGCAATCTGTATGTAAATAATGTGATATATTGTATAATGAACTTCTTGAATTTTTATCATTTAAATTTTGTTTTTATTCAGATTATTATACATTAATGTCTTTTATTAAACTTGAAATACAACATAATTGTAACACTTTTTCTTTATATCTTTTCTATAGTTTGTTTTTGTCTTTCATTTGAGTCTCAAGAAGACTATTAAAAAAAACAGTTGGAAATTTTCTAATAGAAAGGATATTGATCAAAATAATTACATATTTCAAAATTTGTTTACAATGTTCAATTTCTATTAACAGTTGCTGAAAGAAAAGAATGTATTGTGTTATTCACAAATTTAGTTGAAACACAATGATATACCAATTATAATTCAAAGTTAATAACAGAAAGGGAAAGGTAACAAATAATCTGGAAAAATAGAAATTATGTTCTTATACACATAAATTCTATTTATTTATATTTTAATGTATATAATAATCCATATTACAATGTTATAACTGTATAACAGTAAACAATACTGAATATGCTTGATTGGAATACTTGTGATATGCCACTAAAACTGGCAAGTAGAATATTTACATATTATAGGATGCCGCTTCATTGCCTCTCTTGAAAGATATGTTATCCTGACCACAAACTTGCAACAGTAATTACAACAATTCACATGAAGCTGTTTTTGACGGTATTACAGCGACAGCTGGATAGGTATCCTAACTATTATCACAGATGATAAAAGACATTTATTGTATTATTGTAGCATATATAATGTGTCAACCACACACTTATTATTAAACTTGGCAAATTATTACACATAAGTTTGTCTTTTTTACTATTTTAAAGTGTTTAATTTTATATTAATTACAATTTTGCTAAAAAATTTTATTTGAATTGTTATAATTATAAAAGCAATACATTTAGTAATTTCAACAATTAAAATGTTTATAAATAAAATTATAATTTAAGAAAATTTTATTTTAAAAACAAGCTACTTGTAAGAATTAGTTTTCCACAAATACTTATACTATTGTATTAACATTTAAAGTTTGTAGTATATACTTTACAAGACTAAATTTTATTGTATATATTCATATTGAAAGAATAAAAACTTTATCTAATAATAAAATGTTATAATTTCTTACAATTTATTGATTTATTTTTAAAACAATGAATAATCTGTTTTCTCATCTTTAAATCGAATCCATAATACTTAATTAACACAATGAATCAATTGAAAAGCTTGTCTCTATTATACTGTAAACATATATTACAGCTTATTTCAATTTAATTTTCTTAAAATCCATTATAATTTATTAAGAAAAATTTATCCATAATCATCCAAATCTCACACACAAAATGTTTTTATTTCACTCATTAAATTTAGATTAAGCTTTGTACAATATATTTCTTTATCTTCTACTTTATACCACTTTTCTTTTATAAATTATTTTATATAATGAAAAAATGGTTAAGTCATATATATATGATTTCATTTCGTTTTCTTTCCTGTGCTCATTTTTTTGTAAATTGTACAACATAAATAGGCCTTTATATTTTGAATGCCACATCAAAAATATGCAGCTTGTTGAAAAGTATGCTGCTTGCAAAGTTATTCTCGCGAAATAAACACTACACACTCATAACATTTGCATCCTATGTATATTGAACATTGCTAGCATCAAAGTATATTTCTATGAGAATACAATCTTCGATGTAATTTAGATACAAAACTTAATAGCTTTTAAAAAACGTCAGTATTGCATTATGTGCTCATTTTGTTGCTATTGCATGCTCCCCACTTTACTTTTGCTCCATTTTTGTTACTCTATTAAACGATATTAACGATAAACTGCATGCTTATATAATGCTGTTAACAACACTTCTTTTTGCTCTGTTTTGTGCTTTTTCTTAAATTGACTGTTTCACTTGTTTGTATGGCTTGTCGCTCCTTTCTTTCTTTTTTAGTTCTTAATACTTGCCGTGTTATAGCCATAAACATCTAAATACAACAAATTAGTATAAATTAAAATTAATGCATTTCGAAATTTAATATACATATAAGGTGAATCACGTGAAATGATACATAATCTTTGTTGAATTTAAAGATAGAAGAAAATATTAAAGAGAATAGTTACACTATTCACAAGAACAAGTATGATAGCATAAATGATATACATTTGGAAATAATAACTAATTTATGTAAATCTAAACTGTTAATACCAATAACTGTAGAAACATTTAAAATGAAATAGAAGATATATGTTAATACTTATATAAACTACACTAATTCAGTCTGCTAAGCTTAATAACAAAATAATGATAATTACCATCATTAAAATATGACATGACATCAAAATTAAACTACATCATTAAAAATACTTTCATAAAGTTCATTGAGAATAAACAGAAATTTTCAAGTAAAACATGCAAGTGTCAAAGTGTTACACTTATATCTAGCTTTCTTTAAAAGTATAATCAGTAGTTTTAACAAATATATTAGTAGACATTGACATTTAAGAACTTGTTAAGTATAAACAATGATTATAAAATTGAATGAAAAAATACGTATTAAAAACCATTTTCATGAGAACACATCACAAAACTTACTTCTTGCACATTAATGTCATCTTTAGCAGAAGTTTCAAATAACTGAATTCCCATTTGATTAGCAAATCTTTGTGCATCTTCTGTTAATACCACCTTTTCATTAGGTGCATCATTCTTATTTCCTACAAGTACCCTGTTGACCACATCACAATTTTGCTCAATTTCATGTAACCATCTTTTAACATTAGCAAAAGAGTCGCCACTAGTCACATCGTACACAACTATAACACCATGTGTTCCCCTGTAGTAAGTTGAAGTTATTGTCCGAAAACGTTCTTGTCCAGCTGTATCCCAAATTTGGAGCTTTACTCTCTCACCATCTATATCCACGGTTTGAATTTTAAAATCCACTCCTATTGTCGTTATGTAACTGCCATTAAATGTATTGTCAGCAAATCGTAAGAGCAGTGAACTTTTACCTACACCTTAAACAAAAAACAAAGAAACAGACATTTAATACAATTTAATAAACGTAATTCATACAAATAAATGTATTTAAATTATATAATAAACATAAATGGTTATAAACTAATAAATAACAGACACAAAAACTAATATTTAAAAGCATCAAATTATAAAATATAAAACATCTATTCAAACACAATTTAATAAAATGTACACATCTAATACACATGTAAAAATCTCAAATGTAAACTTCTATTACATCTCTTTTTGCAGCCATACAACATTTGTGCGTAATGTTTCTGCTTATTAATTGAAATAATGAAAATATTTGAGGTGGACAGAATTGGTCATAAAACATATATGTATGTAGGTATTAAAAATTGTTAAAGAATAAAGTTGCACTGTTCAAAGAAACAAATATTATGGTACAAATAGATTCTTGTTTGGTGCCATCTGTAATGTTATTTAAAGGTTATCAGCATTTTCTAAAATAGCATTACATATTTTTGACTTCATAGTATTGTAGTCAGTGTCAAAACAAGTTTATTGATATATGATGCCTTGTCCCTGGACTCTGAAATTTAGAATTGAGTATTAAAAAGTTTTGAGTATAAAATTAGATTTCTAGAGTTCCATTCATATCAATAATAACATATGTGTAGCAGTAATAATGGTATAGCAGTATGCTGTGGACAAAAGGTAATTTCTAAATGTATACAACCATGATTATCAATAAATTACAAGTACTTTATAAAAATATATTTAGTTACTATGGTACAAACACATCCTTCACATATGGTAAGAAAATTCTTAACAGTTGAATTGTTACATTAAATATGACAGTTAAATATCATGATTAGTTCATTAACTAAACTAATGTGTTTCTATAAGAAAATTGAAAGATGTTTCCTATATGTAACTTTAATACAAATTAAAGTTAAAAGATTGAAATAGAAATGATTAAAAGAGCTCTTTCAATGTTAATTAAACATTTAAATGTATGTTATTACATAAAGGCATCATTTTTTAAAGTTTAATTTCATTCATATAAAACAATTTAACACTTTAGAATTTTTATTGCTAGATCCAAATTTTTGAATGAAATGTCATTTTAATTCTATGTCACTGATCTTATTTTGATACTGGCTACGACACTATGAAGTCAATAACACGTGTAATATTTAATAAAAAATACTGATGCTCTAAAAATAATCTTGAAGTTGATATCAAAGAAGAAATTATATATACCATCAAATTTGTTCTCTTGAACTATGCACCCATTCTTTTAGATATTTTCTTGCACCTTCATATGTAAGAAACATATTTAGGTGTGCCGATTCGCATGACTCACCCTGTATATTGACAAAGAAATCATTTGTAAACATGAAATTTTTATTAATTTTTTTATTCTTTAAGGGAGTGAAATTATCTTCCATACAATCTTTTACTTTCATTATTATCATACAAAATATTACTTTCTACTAATTTTAATGATGATAAATTTGTATTGTCTATTTTCTACTAAAAACATAAATGACATGTAATTCTTCTTTATAATGGATTCTAATTTTCTTTAATATATAATTACATATCTTTATTGTTGAATATGTTTGACATTGATGAAAATTCATACACTTACCACTATCTCCTATTATTAGAAGCTTAAATAAATGATCATATTCCCGGGCCATTTTGACATGTATGACGTGCAGGTTTATCAAACGTTTCCTCGCGAAAACGGTTCGAAATATAGATGATACATTCACAGTATCATAAATGGTTTAGATTGTTTATGAACAAATGCGAAAAACAAAATTGCTGACTTGATGCTAGTTACAACAACGTTTGCGGCATATCCCAAGTAAAAAACTCCAGTATCAAATAAGCGCCATGTTTATTTGCCGCGATATCACAATTCATTATCGCTACTAAGAAAGAAATTATATTCGTTAACAATGACTATTTTACATTAACTTGCAGTAATTAGTATATTTTATTTATTTGAAAAGCTGTACTTTTATGTAAAGAAGTTAATTTACATATACTAGATAATAAATACCATTGGTTGAAGGAAAAGAAACATCTTTTGGAAAAATAACTTTTGTTAAGTAAGCCATTTCAAAACATTAATTATTTTATACAATAAATTAAAGGGTTAAACTTCTACATTCCTACTAAATTAAATATCATGTTTTTATGAATAAGTAACAAAAGATAGAATACCATACATACATGAATATGAGCTGTCAGTACTTTACTACTAGGCATCTATTTGACCATCATCCCTTACTATCGCTGGTTCTCATTACGTTACACTACATGTTCCGCGCGATATGAAAAGCAATTTAGTAATAATCTAAATGAATAATGTAAAATGTAAGAATTTACAAGATATTCCTAATGATTTTCTCTTTCTCTCTTTTTCCTCTTTCCTTTTCTATTATCCTCCCTTTCTCTTTCTTTCTGCTTTCTTATTTATTAAAAGTAAATTACATTTTGATGTTGTTTACCTTTTTCATTTAAATACGATTATAACATTATTATACTTGCACCTAGTATTCTTCGAAAAGAAAAAGTCAAAATTCATATATATTATTATCGAACAAATCATATTAAATATAATATAGATTTTGCAAAACTTCTATAAATACTGATCTACTAATCTTGCTAATGAAACTTAAAAACCAGAACTCACTAATTATTATTTGTAAAATATGAAAAAATATTATAGACGATTAAAAATAAAATTTTAATTAAAAAGGAGATATAGCATGTCTATGTTTTAATTTTCAAATTGATAATACAAATTTACTGCATACAAAAAGTCTCATCGATTCTTGCCGAATCCCTAGAACTAACACAAACGCACAGCGGCGGTGATACTATACGAAATGGCATGCAATTGCACGAAGGCGAATAGCAATGCCATTTTATATACAACTACTGCCGCAGTGCGTTTGTGTTCGTTCTAGGGTCTCGGCAAAGATCAATGAGACTGAATGCATGCTGTTGATTTGGTTGAATATTTTTAGTGATGATTACTTATCAGTCGCTAAGCGTCTTGTTTTAAAAGTCTTATTTCAAAATAAAAAATTTCTTTTTAATGTTTTCTCTAAAACGATATTTCACATTATGATTACATTGAGGTTACACTGTAGTTATCTACTACCTAAAGCATGTATACTATAATAGGTGAAGTAAAAAAATAAGTGATATCTCATGATCGAATATTCTTTATCAATTAATACTCGTAAAAATAATGAAATTTAATTGTAAGTACAAGAATTTAAAAAAATGAAAAGAAATTGAGTGCTGCTAAATTAAGGCTTTAAGGCAACAGTACATTTGCAACATATTTCCGATTAAATTTATTGTAATTTTCAAAGATTTTATCTTTAAAAAAGTAGATTCATTTATTTAACATTTAATATGGTGTAAAGTATCTACACATGTCTATACTTGTATATTTTATATATTACATATAATGGGTCTAACCTATTTTAATTGTAAACAGCTATAATAAAATATTACATTTTATACATGTATAATTTTGTTATTACATTAACTAAAACACTTTAACTAAAGCAAACACGTAAATTGAATAAGTGACAAAGTAATGAATTACGTTTTGTTTCGTTACAGAATTTTGCGCGATTCTTTCTGTTTTAAACAATTGTTATAAACAAGAAAATGTCTGGGCCTATGGTATTGTGTCAGTTATGGATGGGTGGTGTAAGTAATGATTATTATTTATAATTTAATATGAAGTTATGATTTTCATATTCTATTTTTATTATTTTCAGTAAAATTAAGTATACGTTTTATTTTAGTTAGAACCATACATGACAGAAAGTTTTATAATGAATGCTTTTCATAAAATGGGAGAACAACCACAAACAGTTAAAGTAATGAGGAACCGCTATACTGGTGAACCAGCAGGTTATTGTTTTGTACATTTTCCAACTGATGAAATGGCACTTGATGCTATGCATAAATTAAATGGAAAAGTGATACCTGGTTCAAATCCAGTAAGAACTTAAAATTCTTATAAAATTTAACACTGCATATTGTTATTATCTTAATAATGTTGTTAATATCAAGAAATGTGTTATTTTGAAGTTTTATATATTTTTTGTATTTTTCAGGCTGTAAGATTTCGATTAAATCATGCTAGTACAACAGGAAAACCAACAGCAGAAAGAGAATTTAGCATTTGGGTTGGAGATTTATCAACAGATGTTGATGATTATTCTTTATATAGAGCATTTGCTGCTAAATATAATTCAATCAGAACTGCAAAAGTAATTTTAGACAGTTCTGGATTTAGTAAAGGGTATGGTTTTGTCAGATTTGCTAATGAGGACGAACAAAAAAATAGTTTAAGTACCATGAATGGATACAGAGGATTAGGAACAAAATCATTAAAAATTTGCAATGCTGTCCCTAGACCTTGGAATAAATTATCAGGGTATATAAAACATGCTTTAATTTTTTTATTTATAGAACAAATTATCATAGATATTTAATAAATATTTTTTACTATAATTTTTAGATCAACACCTCCGCAATCATCATCTGAATACACACCATCAAATATGAATTCAGATGCTTATAATTATTATGATACATCATCATACTGGAATAGTTATAGTGCATGGCAACAAGGTTATTATGACAGTGAACCTACATCAGATGGATATAACAGTTATGTGTCTGATCAAAAACCTGAAGAAGATGAATTAGAATTAATAGGTATGAAAAATAACATTTGTAAATCTAGCAATATACAAAGATATTTGATTGGTAGTTTTTCTACATAATTTCCTTTTAATATCAATTTATTCTATACTACTATGAAATCTATCCATATTATATAAATACTTTGTATAACATTTTTACAGTTTGTTATTAGTATTTAGTATTAGTATTAGAATATTTAATCATGTTTCAATATGCTACATTTATTACATAATAAGTAAAAACTTATTCATTGCTATATTAATATTTTTTTTCTTCAAACATGTACGATTTTTTTGTTTAGTTGTGAAATAATAAGAAAATAAGTTAGGTGAAAAGATTACTTATTTTCAGTAAGATAAATTCAATAATTTTGTTGTATTATCACACATAAGTGTTTGTAGATAGCATTATTACAGTATGTTTAATATTCATTATCATGTAATTTGAACAAAATTCTAAAAACTATAATTTCTTTTTTATTTGCAGAGCATTCGGTTCCTATAGATATTGATAAACTTAATAGAGAAATAATAGAACAAGATTATAACTTATGGGATGCATTGGAAAGTTCAAAATGGATTCCATGTGATACCTTAGAATTATGTTATTAAAGTTTTTGTATGTAAATTACTTTTATCTTCTATATCTATCACTGTACAAGTATATATTTTTATTGACATTTTAAATAAATTTCCAATTTGTAACATGAATTTACATCATGCAAAACCTTTCATTACTAACATCATATCAATATAATGCATATTCATAAAATAAATAAGTTTCAATTAACATTTTATTACAAGATAACCGAATGAAATTTGGTATTTTTTATTTTTTTTGTAT